GGATGGATGGATGGATGGATGGATGGATGGATGGATGTACTCAGCTAAACAAAGCTGGGATATTAAGATAGCAGGGTTTTGGTTACAGACTGCACCAGGGGGCATTGAAGGAGGATACTGTAGTGCAGTGCAACCCTTCCTTTTCCGGGCACCACTTTAACTTTGTTAGTTCTGCTGATGGTGTAAAAGCCGCTTCCTTCTCATTGTGTGTTCAGACTTTCAGGGCAGAATGACCAAGCAGAATCCAACCAGTTTGTGTTCAGAGAGGCTTGGACTGTTTTCTTCCATAATGTGTTTTATGGGTGCTGTCCTTTGTGTCATTAACTACAATGTATTAGGACCATTGTAGATAAAAAAAAAAGAGAGAGAAATACATGTCCACCAAAAAAACTCCAAGATTTTTGGGATAATCTCAGAATTTTTCTAGAAAAAAAAAACAAGAACAAGAAAAATCTGACTTATAAAAAAGGAAAAGTTGCTAAAAAAAAAAAAAATCTCTAAAATTTTCAAGAAAAAACTCAGAACATTTTGGAGTTTTTTGCTAACAGATGTACAACTTTTCAAACGCAAATATTTCCCCTTTTTTTTCTAGAATATTTCTGAGATTTTTTGGCTGAAATTTACTCTTATTTTTTCTACACACAATGTACATAATACATACATGGACACCTGCAGCTCACAGTTTCCTGATTTGCAGCTCGATAAATTCATACCTGACAAATACAGAAAGACGAAGGAGAGTCACAAGTTGAATGAGAACAAGTAGAATGACACATCAATAATGTTGATTATATTATGTGATGGTGACTTGGAGGTCTGAAAAGAGTCTGCAGCTCAATGGGAGAAATCCCAGACTGACCACTGAAAGGAGATGAGAATCAGGCGGCGTTGTGTAGGAACGTGCTGGCCTGGCTGATGTTATCCAGCTGGATGGACTCACTGCCCTTGAAGCGAATAATCAATACAGATTAAAGTGGTTGAGTGAATAAAAGTGAGAATGATGATGACATTGTGATGATGGGAAAAGACAGACATTAGTGAGGAAAATGTGGATAAATTACCATTTATGTCATCATTTGCAGGATTCATTAATAATGCAGCAAACACGTCTTTTTAATATTATGCAACCCCAACCTCTAATAAACCTTTTTACAGTAAAATAAAGGAATCTCTGACATTTTGTTTGATTAGTAGTAGTCACCTCGGCGTCCCCAGCGTTTGGTCTGAAGCCAGCTGGTTGTAGGCAGTCAGACACATCGCTGTCTGCTTCTCAGCTTTCTGCATCCTCTGTTTTCCTCTGTTTGTCCTGATAAATCCTCTTCATCTGTTCATCATCAGCGTACAGTATCTGTTACCGCGCTTGCATGGATGGAGGCTGATCAGTCACGTCTTTGGCTGAGAGCTCTCTGCAGACATTAAGGATGTGTCGATCAGACTGAAAGTAAAAGCAAAAAAAAAAAAAAAACAGAGTCAGATTAACTAATTACACATTTGTCATATATAACAATATCCTACCTTCATTTCTGATGATAATTGTTGCTTCAAAGACATCATCATAAAAAATAAAAAAAAAAAATAAAAAACATCTGTTGGATTTTAATAGACCACTTAACATCACATTATTTTTACTCCTGGTTAATAAAAAGCATCATTTCTTGTGGAAACTGCTGTGCTGAAATGAGCTCTAAACTTCTTGTTAGCTGGAAAGCCTCTCAGAAGCCAGCAAGCAATAAATGCTTTACTTTGACAAACAAATTTTAAAAAGACTGAGAGTTGGATGGACTTTGCCCATTAGTGTGGTTTTATTGCATATGGATTATTAGAGTGAGCAGTTGAAGTAGAGGAAGTAGCTTTTTTACTGCAACTCGACACTGCAGGATGATAACATTTGCTCTTTAAAATAATACATAGTTCCCTTTGGTAGCGAGGAAACTAAATATTCCTTCAATAATCAAAAAACCCAGTTCTGTTAGATCAAGCAGTGAGTTGTTCTTTTTATGAATTACGTATTGTTCTCGTAAATTACTGTTTATAGATTCACCATCTGGACTTTTGGATTTCCAGTTTTTGTAAAGGTTTGAAGTCTGATTCTGACTTCTGAAGATCTTTTTACATAACTCCTCATTCCTGTGGATTCTGTTGGAAACTTTATTTTTGCATGTAAAAGAAACTTTCCCCCACAGAGCAGCTCTGGGTAAAAACATATGAGAATAGTAAATTTTACATCTTAAACGAGACACTTTGGTCACATCAATCCAAAGATAAGGTTGTCACTCCAAAATATGATCTCTTATTGCATATATCAGCATATTTATCTGCTTCATCAACTCCACTGCCACATATGAAGAATGGAAGTACACATATAATTTCATTTAGTATTGATCTGGTGCTTTTTATGCTTTTAGATATATAAGAAACATCAGTTATATATTCCACTATGTTTAAGTGGTAATTTCCTGTCATGAAATGGAAAGACTGGGAACATGTGTGATTATTATAACAGACAAGAATTAATAAATATATCTAGAGTGAGCCAGCTGCTTCAAAAGTAAGCCGTGGTATTAGGGCCAAAAGCTAGCTACTGATCTGAATCATGATAGGCTGGCACTAGCAACTGAGAGGATGATTCTGGTAAAAGAAAAATAATCTGCTCACGTGTGTTAACAATTAAGATGGTAGTGACTAGCATGCAAAGGCTGGTCGCCTTCTTCCTCTGCTGTCCATTAGCACTGATAAGGCTGGTGCTAACATTGGATAAGCTAGTGTTAGCTTTGGCGAGGCTAACAACTAGCATGCTTAAGCTGGTAACCCACTGTATTGCTTTCTTCTCTTGCTGTATGGCTGGTGTTAGCACTGGAGAGGCTAATGACTAGCATACCTGGGACATCCACTTTATTAGACATGTAACATTTAAATACATTGATGTACTGATAGAATACATCAAGGTAATACATCAAGTGTTACACAAACATAAACACACGAAGCTGATCGTGGCTTTAACCAAACAAACTGATTTACTACACCTGCTGGTATCACACCAGGACCCCCAGCAATCAGGTGGACATGAAGATCTTGAAAATTATAGCTTACAGACTTTCTACTGATTGTGACAATTATCAATCCTCAACATTAACTTCTAGAGTTCCCTATTAATGTAATACAAATTGTTCTGTGGAAGAAGTAGTGACTAAAAATAGAAAAAAAAGGATTAAATAATATTGAACTCTGTAAGGTGCTATAAAGTACTATTATTAACATATTGTTACTGTACAGTATGTCAACCAGTGCTGTTCTGACCTGAAAAGTGCTTCTCAAATCAGTTTTAGTTCTGCTGAGCTGCTGAAATGAGGTCAGTGTTTTGCTGTACAGTGAGTTTGTCTCCTCGGTCTTGTGGCGTCACACGGACTGAGAAGATGTGCATTCCATGATGTGCACAAGCAGGTAGATATGAGGTAGCGACGGAAACAAATAGATGACTAGAAAGAATGAGTCACGATACGGGAAGAGCAAGATCAGAGCAAGGTGGATGAGAGAGGGAGCAATGTGAGGATGGCTGTCCGATGTGGGGAGGGGGAGGTGTCACATGGCGAGGAGGAGGATGGGAGGCAGATACGCAGAGAGGAGGAGAGAGGAGGAGAGCGAAAGGAAAGCCAGTCATTTCCCTCCAGAGTTTGCACCGTCCAGACAGCCCTGCCTCTTTTGTGCTACGTCACGACTGAGCAGGATACGCTGATGCCGACAGGAGGAAACAAGCACTCGTGTCTGCCAGAAGCCGGCTGCTCCATCCTCTCACTGGATCTTTCACCGGCTTCACAGAACCCCCTGGTTTCTCATTTTGACCCTCATTTTGAGCCTAGCCAAATCAGACAACAGGCTGATTCTGGGAATATACCTCGTCTTCTTCCACAGAGCAACTGACATCAGTGGCGGGATACAGTTTTGCCTTAAAGATGGAGGTCAAATGTGTTTCAGACCGGATCAGGAAGATTTACATCTCAACTTAACAAACTCCCTCTGTGAAGTTAATCAAAGTGATCTGGGAGCAACAGGAGCTCAATCAGACCTCGTCGCCAGCTGATGGATCGTCTTCAGGCTCTCTGTCTGACATGTTGGAGTAAATTTACCTTTTAATCAAGGATTTAGACATTGATGGTTAGTGCTGGCTCTCGTTGAACGTCGTGACCTATAAATCAGAAATGGTGTTAATGAATGTGTTCCCCAGTAAGGCTGACAGATAGGTACGTCATCACTGCTGACTCACTACATGGCCAAGAATGCCTCACTTCATGCCCTAAATTTAGATTTAAAGCCTCTAACTTTGATTTTGCCTGACAAGATGGACTACTGATCAATTTCTCTCATCAGAGTTAAAGGCAAATTAAAGAGGTTATTAAAATCTTGAAAGTTCTTGACACAGAACAGTCATTTTTCTACTAGTCAAGTTGTGTGGCAATATCACTAATGAATGCCTAAAACAAATTGGCCTTGTCCTATGAACAAGAACAACGTTTGACTTCATCTCTGTTGACTTCTTTGGACTACTGACCCAATCGAAGATTATTTTGGACATACAGGAAGGGAACACTACTCGTGTTTTGCTTGAAGTTTCTCTCAATATGGAATATCTAATCTCAAAGTGACCTCCAGACCCCCATCGACATGGTGGTGACTCGTCTTGAGTTGGAGCTTCGCTACCAGGACAAGAAGCTCCGTGGCGTGACATGGAAGCTGACACGATCTGAACATGGTTTCCTGCCAGAGAGCTCCTGGCTCATCGCGGCGCAGGTTATGGTGCCGTACCTGATATCAGGACTCGGAATGGTCTCTGCTGGGATCCTAATGGACCTTATGCAAGTATGAAATAAACTTTAGATATGTATTCTTCCTTTTTGGGGGATGATAAATTGATGTACAACGTACAGTCAAAATGATTCAAAACTAACTTTATTACGGTGCCGGTACACCCAGTATTTGGAAGAGTTTGGGACAAACAACTGAATTTGCAAATACATGAGACCTCTTCTAAAAACACTCATAAATGATAGGATGGTCCATGTTTTTTGTGTTAAAAAATGTTACAAGTTAACAGGAAATGTGAAAATATGACTAGGTGATTATGTGTTATTGGAAGACATTACTGGTAATACTTCAGCACCAACTACTGAGTCTTAAAAAACGCTATTCAAAGTAAGTTAGTAATCAACCAGTGGAACTTATAACAAGCTATGGAATGATGGTTACATTTAAAAGTAAAATAACAGAGTTATCTTAAATGGACAATGATGAGTAAGCAAATTTTTATGCTTGTCTAAATATTCAAGCGTACAAATGTTCTTGAATATGTACAAAATTCACACATTTATTGTATGAAGTTTTATTGTTTAGTTTAGTAATGTCTGCTGCTTAGTGCACTGTATGGATTTGCTAGTTAGTTGCTAGTTGCTAGTATTTATCCAAATTAATACAGCATTTGAAGGATATAATCTGATTGGATAAAAAAGACCTGTCTGTGATTGGCTGGTGCTGTAGCTCATTTACATACACTTTACCAATTAGCAAGCGCAGACACAGAGCCAAGCACAGTGCAGAACATGCAGGGAGAACATAAATGCTCTGATGATGTCTCACTGCGCACCCAACACAAACCGCTATAAATACTAATGTAAGTCAGCCTACTCAGCCTTTATAGCCGGGTTTTAGAGGTCCGCACTGAGCATGTGCAAGCTGAGCATATTATATTCTCTGAAAAGACAGTCTTTGTAGAATGATTACACAAATGCCAGGACGGCTCTGAAAGAACACGTTCCAAGTGAACTATTTTGAGTGAAAGGTGGCGCGTGAGTTCACTGTGCATCAGTTCTAAACCTAGTTTAACCTGACTTTACTGTCACAGCTACTGACGTATAAGAAATCCTAGTTAGAATACATAAACAAATGACACTTACTCTGGTGGGGGCTAATCAAATTAAGTCTGGTGGCCTGCCAGGCCTACAATTTATAGGGGGGAAAAAAAGAAGCAAAAAAAATATATATAGATTTTTAATTTATCTGAGTTTATCAGCTGTTTAACCTAAGAATTTCACTTTTCCTTGAGACGTTTCCTTTTTTAGAAACATATTCCAACAGCTGCACACATTGTTATCATTTCTACAAAAATAAGACCATGTTTACAGGTTTCAGGACAAACTAATTCATTTATGCCTATAATGCATTTTCTATTCAGGCCTGTTTCTGTGTCGGTCTTTCTCTGCCTTCATAGTTTTCATCCATTTGCAGAGTGTTTCCTTTTCGCTGTCCGTTTCTCCTCCCTGACTATCATTTCTTCTTCTTCTGCTCATATCTGAATAATTTAAAGATCTTGGACCTGCCAACACTCAGACAACATCAGCCTGACTCCCTGCATTATAATACTCATCAACCCAGAAAGTAGGCCACTGGGTTAACTCAGAATATCTTCTAGCATTATGACTTATTTGACTCCATCAGCTCCAGATGACTTTGACATAAAGATGTTTGGTGATTTTATGATTTTATTTTCTGTGTGTATTATGTTGCTCTGTAACAGTTTGAAATCCAGTTTCCCATGTGAATATGTGTTCCAGCACTGGGAGGTGTTCAAGGTGATAACGGAGGTTTTCATCCTGGTTCCGGCTCTTGTCGGCCTCAAAGGAAACCTGGAGATGACCCTGGCTGCTCGGCTCTCCACCGCTGTAAGAACAAACCGCTTTTCTTCTAACTCTAGTCATTCAGCTCCACCAACGTCCTGATACACCCTCATGGTGAGATTCAACCGGGCATGAAGTTATTACAGTATGATGAGATCAGAATTATGTCCTTAAACTCAGAATTTGGACTTTTATCTCAGAATTCCGACATTTTTCTTTGTAATCTGACTTTAATCTCAAAATCCAAAAAGTCAGAATTCTGAGAAAAATTTTGAGATAAAGTCAATTTTATTTATTTATTTATTTTCAGTTGCCTAAATCATCATTCATACAAACATAGCATATGGTTCAAAAACAATAATTTCCATGACATTGAAATAGATGTGAGTGTTTCCTGTCTGTTGCAGGCCAACACGGGCCAAATGGATGATCCAGACAAACAGTGGACCATGGTGTGCAGCAACCTGGCTCTCATTCAGGTAACATCCTCTGCATAGACGGCGCTGCATACTTCAACGCTTTGATCGGAAGATAAAGATGGGATTTGATGAATTGTGCAGGTCCAGGCCACGGTGGTGGGCTTTCTGGCAGCAGTGGCAGCCGTCTGCTTGGGTGCGATCTCCAGAGGAGGAGTAGAGCTGGACCAGGCGGCCGTCCTGTGTGCCAGCAGCATCACCACTGCCTTCGTAGCTGCTCTGTCCCTGGGTATGTGGGGATCATCTAAACCACAGATCTGTTCAGTAAACGGGTGTGTTTGTTTGGTTGCTTTCTGTTCAGAGGTCATCTCAGTGCTAAACATTGGAGCTGCCATGGTGACCATATTCACTCTGTGCATTTTTAACCCTTTGTAACTATCCTAAGGTAACCCTCCTGTGTCTGTCACACTCCTGATAACCTTTTACACATCAGCTTTAATCAGCTTGTCTTGGATTTTAGAAATGTTTTGGTCCATAGACACTTTGCATGTTGTTGTTTACATCCAGAAATTTTGCACACACACATAATGCTGGAGGGCAAAAACATGATACTTTGACTCCTCATCTGTAGCCGCGATGCCACGGTGGAACAGTTCTGTTAACTAAATGAAACCTGGAGACGAAGCTTCCATTCTTTTAGTGTAGTTCAACACAGAAAAGGGAAACGTGACGTAGAAAAAAAACGTTGAAAAATAACTCCAAACCACTCATATTCTTTTTTTTAAGTGTTGGCTATGCTACATGCAGATCCATTGCCATGGAAACTGACAACAACACCTCAATATGTTTCAGGATTCAACACCAAAAAACACTCTAGCATTTCCTACACAAACAACAGAACATTCAGTCCGTTACAGTTTTATGTTTTCAAGACTGAAAACATAAAACTGGATTATTATTTGGGATTATTAATAATCTGAACCCAGATGATCACTTCCCCCTCAAATCCCTCTTGCTATCATTTCCCTCGTTAAATGAATAATCCCTACATCTCAAGGTTTCATTTTGTTGAATTTTTCTACAGCTGGTGTTCTGTCTGTGCCAGCGTTGTCTGCATGCATGAAATGTCCAGATTTAAACAATAACATGCAACGTCGCTATAAATAAAATAGTTATGGCGGTGTAAAGCTGTACCACAGGTTTTATTTTAAGACATGTCATTACGACATTGCTTTGCTAACCAGGTTTTAGATTCATATGCTGGCAAAGATAATGAGTAAAGAAATAAATCTATTGATTTTATTCACTCATTGACAGTTGCAATAAATACATTCAAATCATTAGTTTTTCTGTTTTGACAGGAATATTTATAACTACGACTACAAAGATCAATGAAATCAGGCGGCATTACTTTGATCAACTCTGACAGGTTTTCACCAACCTGATAAAAGATTTCCCCAATTAAACAAACCACTTTTTCTGCTTTATGTAAACCTTATTTAAAAGTTAGACTTTTGTCTCTCCTTTACATGTGTCTCCCTCTCATGCAGGCCTGGTGATGATCGGAGTGATCATTGGCTCCAGGAAGGTGGGAATCAACCCGGACAACGTTGCCACGCCCATCGCCGCAAGCCTGGGAGATCTGATCACACTGTCCCTGCTGGCCGGGGTCAGCAGCACGCTCTACCAGTACAAAGGTAAGAGACTCAGAGCTTCCTCTGAACCATTCCGGATCAGACCACAAGATGGCAGCAACAACCAGGCTTCATTTCAGACAGAAACATGACTGCCCTGAGCTGTCAGTGAAGTAGTAGAGCATCAAAAGTTGATCTAAAATAATGATTCAGTTCAAGTTAAACCTGCATGTTAAACAGATTTATTATGCAGAGTCAGTTTAATTTAACTGTTATTACATAATACTAATAAAAACATTTATTTTATATTATATTATGAACACACCACAGCTTACATATTTATGGGTAATATTGCTGTAACTAATTATTGGAAAGTTAAGTGGAAGACAAAAGTATAATTGACATGTTAGAACTGCACTGACCCATATTCTGATAACGATGCTAGCGCAGATAAATAAGCTTTGTTTTTATTTTTATTTTTTGTTTGGTTTTTGTCTTTGTACCCTCAGACCTCTGGTACTTGTCCCCCTCTGTGTGCCTGCTCTTCCTGGCTCTGATCCCGCTGTGGGTGGTGTTGGCCCGACAGAGTCCACAGATCAAAGAAGTTCTCCGCTCTGGCTGGCAGCCTGTTATAGTAGCCATGTCCATTAGCAGGTACAGGCAACATCTACAACTGATTTATTTCAGACATGTAAAGCTGAAGCTGCAGCACTGAGCAGAAGGTTTTAACCTCTGCCTCCTGCTTCAGAGGAGTCAGGCTTTCTTGTAAATCTCAGTCAGTAGTTATTGTAAATACTTTAACTGCTGTAGGTGAAACCTGCTGTAAGTAACCTGAAGAAAGAAGACAGCGTTCTGAAAATGTTTCTGAAATAGACTGAAAATAAGAGGCAAAAAAAGCAAAGAGCTAAAAAAAAATCAACTATTATGACAAAAATGGGCTCAAAAGAGGTAAAATGACCCATAAGAGGTCTCATTTTTAACATCATACTGTACAATGATCCATTTTACCTCATTTTGTTGCAGTGAAACTCAGTATCATTTTACCTCATTTTCGACAACACAATATACTATGTGTCAAAACACAGTAGGTCAAATGAGTGATAGTTCAGTTTGATATTTAAAATGAGCAAAAATGACTCAAAGTAGAGTCACTATGGAAACTGGAGCTGTTTTTGATTTGAGTGATAATGCTTTATGTCCACGGTAATGGACAGCAGGAGGCGCCATGAGGCAAAAACAAGATCAAAAACTCAAAGAAAACTAGAATATATATACTTTTAAAAAGGAATCGTAAATAGAGCCATCTTAACTCAGCTGAGTAATTCTTTTAGTAAACCAACATTTTTCATGTTTCAGTTTTCATGAAACCTTATTTTTATTTGTGGAAACAGTTTTTCCAATGCTGTGTTAGCATTAAGGTCACATTAAGTTGAGATAAATGTAACAGAAAACTGTACTCAGATGTTCTACAATGCTTAAGGAAGTTATTAATTAATTAACTAATTAATTAATTAATGTCAGATCAATAAGTTTTAGTTCCTTTTGCCCAATGTAGAAAAAATTAAAATTGCTAAGAATTCCTGAGAAATAAAATTTTACAGAGTCACTGCATATAAAGATTAAGTAAAAATTAAAAAAAAAAAGAAAAAAAAATTAAGTACAGTCCAGTTACACAGTAAATTGACATGGTTCTGATTTCTCTGTTATTCTATAATTGTTCAGTTTTGGGGGCCTTATCCTGGACAAAACAGTGAGTGACCCCAACTTTGAGGGGATGGCTGTCTTTACACCTGTTATTAACGGTAAGGTTCTTTTCTTGTGATACCACTCCTCTGTTTTCCTCACTTTTTGGTAAATTGCTTGCCTTAGTTCTGACCTATTTTATTTCTGAACTGACAGGACTGATGCATTTAAAATGACTGTTGTTTTAAAATGCATTGAGAGAAATGCATTTTAAAACAACTGCACCGCAGTTGTTTTAACTGGGCACCGCTAACTAAAATGTTAGCTACACTAACTCTAAAGCACTAATCATGAACATTAGCTCTGCTAATGCCAAAGCGCTATACCAACAAGTTATTTAGTGGAAGCTAATGCTAAAGCACTGAAGCTTCTCCAAAACTTTATATTGTATATCGTTTACTGTATAACAACATTAAATGAAACAGTTGTATGCCTCATGAAAAATAATATATAATATTCGACAAAAAGAGAAAGCTGGGACCTAAAGGTTCAAAGCAGAACAGATTTCAATTATTTTCATGCCAATTTTTTGTCAGAGTCTTTGATTGTCTGAATATAATACTTAACCTCATTGTAAAATGCGTCAAACATTTTTGGAAAAATGAATATAATATTTAGCTAGAAACAATAAAAGAGAAAACTCAGAAGCTTTATGCATGCGTTTCCCAGTGAGGCCAAATGAGACATATTCTCATCACATATATGAGGAAATTTTTGAGGATATTCCGTTAATTTTGAAAAAAACACAATATCACGATTTTGAGGTTTTCCCATTAAACAAGAAACTCCACTAAAATCACACATGAATAAGTTTATTCAGGTGAAAATTCATTACGAAGCATGCTGCATCATCATCCATCTACCACTTCCTGCTGACTTTACAGTTTTCTATTCCAGTTTTGTGAAATACAGTAATTTCATTACGGTCAACAAACCACCTCACCCTAATGCGAAAACATTTGATCAAAAAACATGTTTTTTCGAAATTAGGGTGTTTGTAATAAGCTTATTTATTTTCAGAATTCCAATTTTCACTATTTTAGATGTAAGAATGTGGAACTGTTCTTTTTACCAGGCCAAGTGTTTTTTGTTTTTTGTTTTTCTTTTCCCCCAGAATCACTTTTGGCAAAAAAATTATTTCTTATTTTAAGAAGTTGACGACGTGACTTTTGGCTTTTGGCAGAAACTTACCACGGAGAGTGGAATTGTTTCATATGCGAGAAGAGATCACTTTGTACACCAGGCACCAGACTTTCAGAAGTCAGCTCAGGAATCCCAAGCATGTCATGGAGCACCATGATCAATCCACCCCCATGTTCTGCAGTTGGGAACTTCTCAAAATGCTCCAGTGCTTTTGAAGCCTCCTTCTGTTTACATCCCAGCAGCTCTACATGGTTCAGCATCACTGACTTCAACATGCTTTCATATTGGAGCCAAATGTTTCCCGAAGCATCGTGGATGACTTTAGATCTCTCTTTTGCCTCTCAGATAACATATGGTTTCAGTTCATCCCAGGATTGCAATTTAAATCAGGCTGGGGCAAAAAAAAGGAAATGCTTGAGTTGGAGCAGCATTGCAGGGTACAGCAGCTCCAGGCTGCGGCTCCTTCCAGCTCTCATCTGGTGGTTATGATTGTTGCTCAGGACTATTTCAAACTCAAATGTTATTTTTATTCCATCTTAATGGTAATTGCAAGTTTGATGCTGTTTTATTTTGGTGGCAATCCTCCAACACTGCTGGAGTATTAAGAGGAATAGTTACTGTGTCTGTAAAAGTATCTGCATCCCTTTAACTTGTTCATATTCTTTCTCATTACAATCACAAGTTCAACATATATTGGGAATTTTATGCACTAGGCATAAAATTGTATAATTGTGAGGAGGAAAGAAAATACAAATCAGTGTTCAGTTAATTTTGAGTCTCAGTATAATATCCAATTTGCCCCAAGTTTCTGGATCTTTCTAGAAACCTTCCATGCTTATAATTCAAATATTGTTTTGTTTGCATTTTTCAGCAAACTGAAACTGTTTTGAATATCCATAACTGGATTCAGTAGAGAAATTCATTTTCAGTCACCATGTCATTAAACTCATATGAGACCTATCTCAGAGGGAAACATTGGGATAGAGCTGGAGACACTCTGGATTCTTCCAAAAATGATTGCTGATTACTAACAAGATTAAATAAGTCTCCTACTAAAAATATTCATAAAAATCTACCCTGATTTTTATCTACCCTAATAAAAATCAGGGTAGATTTTTATTACTGATAAAAAAAATCTACCCTGCTCAGAAGAATATCAATTCTAGAGTCAAGACAAAGTTTTATATAAGTGCACGTTTTGTGATTCCTGTCCTGCAGCTGTTCTCTACCTGTTGTGGTTCTGTTCTGTTGTTCAGAATCTGTGACTTTATCCATAACATAGAAACACAATTTATTCTCCTATGGCAACACAGCTTATGGTTTATGTTTGTAACATTTTGGCACTAAGCTAACTCTGCAAAGCTGAGTGTACATTTTTGAAAATGTTTTTCATTTCATATCGTCATTGCTTTGGGTTGACAGTATGTTATCTGTTGCATTGTCATCACACTAAATTGTAAATAAAATACATTGAAGTTTGGAAAAAAGTGACAAAATGTGTGGAAAAACAAACACTTATGTAAGGCTCTGGAGTTTCAAGTTGGAAAAATGTGCTGAAGCACAAATGAAGGCAAGTTAAGGGGAAAAAAAGAGGCCTGTAATGGAGCAGTTTGGCTGTGAGGTGATGCATGCAGAGATCCTCTGAGTATAGGAGAGAAGCCAGTGTGAACCACTGATGGTGCTCAGCCAGAGTCCCACACAGCTGACAGGCCCTTTAATAACCAGCCACTCAGCCTGTCACTCGCTCTCATTTAGTTTTCACTCTAGTTCTCTATCCTTCCTCTCTGCTCATTTCCAAGTTTGCCAATCTGGTTCAAATTTCCTCTGATGTGCTTATAAAACCAGGCAGATTTTTTTTTTTTTTTTTTTTTTCCATTTTCCTAAAAACCCATCTGTCATTGTTAAAAGTTTGAGATCCTTGGAAATGTGTCTGACATAAATGTGTTAAGCTCAGAGACCCTTGTCAACAGCAAAATGAATATGACTATTAAAAGTAAGGCAGTGACGAGCTTAATAAATAATCTCAGACCAAATAAAGTCAGATTGAAAGACTAAAACTGCTGGCCATCTGTGGCACAATAAAACAACAAGTGAAAATGTCTTCTTTAATGCAGCTCAGACAGTTTTATGCAGATGCCAGAGTTTGACAGGTAATGAATTTTGCAGAACTGCAGCAGCGTTTACAGCTGCAGGCTGAGGAACCTGTCTCCATACAGTAACGCTCCACAGAGCAGGATTCAAACTGTTCTTTTAGGAAGTGTCTGGGGTCAGTCTTTGGATAAATTGTGATGTCAAGAGTTGCCTTTTTTAAATTCTCTGAAGTTTTTTTTTTTAATGGTTTATTCAGCAGAAATTACTGTATGCTGAAATGGATATACACAAACGCACCAATCAGAGATTTTGTGGCCAGTTTCTGATCTGTGATTTGTCAGAAACAATCTGAGAAACGTTACTGTATGCACCTCAGATTACATACAGTAACGCTCCACAGAGCGTTACTGTATGCACCGCTCTGTGTTTGATGCGACTCTTTGTCGCATCAAACATCCTCCAGTAAAAATGATGACAGCATATCTCATTCATACCACCGAGTATTAGGGCCATACAAACAAAAATGTAAAAATTAAGTAATAAAATTATGAAAATATTTATAACATTACATCAATAAAGAGTGGTACGAGAATAAAGTTGAAATTATATGAGAATAAAGTAATAATATTACAATTGGTAATATTATTTAATACTACACCTTTATTCTTATTATTAACTATTAACTAGAAAGTAAATGACTTCTCTTTATGCTATCACTGTAATTTTTTTTTTTTTGTTAATTGTATTATTTTTTAATATAAAGCATTTTAAACTGCATTGTTGTTGAAATGTGCTATACTGAAAATCCTGACCTGTCTCACTAAGTGGCTGTCTGCTCTGCCTGGTTGTTAGGAGTGGGTGGGAACCTGGTTGCCATCCAGGCCAGCAGGATTTCAACATACCTTCACTTCTGGAGCGTTCCAGGTGTTCTGCCCAGCAAGATGAGCCAGTACTGGCCCAATCCCTGCGTCAGCTTCTTCTCCTCAGGTAGACTAACTCTTCTGGGCGGTGTCAATGAGCTCTACGGTGTTTTACCACTGTATTTTTTTTTTCTTTTTTCACCTGATAAACTAGCAAGGAACTCTAATGTTGGTATTCCTAACAGAACTCACATGAATAAAGACATATTTTTGGTGTTATTATCATTTAATTGTGGTGACAAAAAACAGAATAAGACTGAATTAGAGAATCATTGATCAGGATTTTGTGATCGATGTATGATTTCCAGTTTTAACCTTTTAATACCAATCTTGGCTCATTCCAGTTTATCTTTGAGAAGCATATTACCCATAAGCAGGTGCCCAGCTTCTTCATATGATCTGAAATACTTGGACATAAAATGTAAAAAACCATAAAGAATCACAAAGAAAAAGAAAAAACACTACTGGCAATTGAGACATTGTTTTTGGTAAAAACAGAATTAATACAAGTGATGATGTATAATTTCATGTGGCAATTCAAACAGCCTGAAAAGTGAAACCAAGAATTTGCATTTTGCACTATTGGATCTTAAGAAGGTTCTAAGTAGAGCTTCACAATGTTAAAGGAAAAAATCAGTGCAAGAGACAAGAACTTTTGAGCAGGGAATTTTCTGAAAACTGCATTTACACTCAAACATGATTTTTTTCAGCTGATCAAAAGTTTAAGACCATAG